TGGTTTTCATATTTCATCCTCTACATTACAAGAAAACACATGACAATATATATATATACATATCTATATATAAATATGCATGTATATGTATATATATACAAATATATATTCATATACTTATGTATGTATCTATGTGTATATAAATTCATATATTTATAAATATATGTGTGTGTGCATAACAAAAATGAGGCTGACGGGAAAAGGCAGTGGCCACGGACACGAGGACAGCGAGCACCAAAGAACCAACAGCGACATGCCAGGACAAAAAGGGGAACAGATTCCTACTTCAGTGAAATCTTCAATTTACAACATAAACTCATGCTCACTGAAGTTAGGCCTAAGAAAGAAATGTGGAAGGTCACGGCATATTACATGGGGATAACTTGTAAGGTATATAAGTTAATGGGAGTAGTTAGATGTAAAAACAGAGAGAGGAAGGTTTCTTTGTTCGTTCATGGACTACGGTGTCCTTTCAGTAAATGGTATGTGAAAGCTGAAAAGAGGAATTATGTTGGTTTGATAAAACGGTGCATAAGAAAAGCTGACTATATATTAAAGAATGGCAAAAAAGAAGAAAAAATGAAAAAAAAAAAACTTTGGAAGACGCGCATTTGTAAACAATGATGACGTCAAGGATACTTTCTAATGGATTTCCGCGTAAGAATAACAAACACTGAAAAATGTAAGGATATAAAATGCAATATCTATTCACAAATCAAATCAATTAAAATCAATGTCATTATTATCATGTGTGTAGTTGAGTATTCCCTTTTTAGCAGACTACGGATACGTATGCTATGTCCACTTCGCCAATTTCCAAATGGTACCCTATCACCTGCTTCTACTTGAGACAAAGTAGTAGATTATGTGGACTCAGAAGATTAGGAAAGTGGGAAAGATAAAATTACCTCTAACTATAGTTGAAAAAAGGATAGTGTGACCGGCCATTAGGAGAGAGCCAGACCAGCATCTCGCGCCCATCATCCAGTCACCATTCGCTGCCTTGCGAGATGCTGGTCCGGGTTTCCAAATAAGGTGTCCCAAGTGTCTCTGAATATAACTGTGTCGCCAAGGGCAAGACAAGACTAGATGACGTATTAAATGAGGGATATTAGGGAATTGGAAACAAAAATAGAGGATGACTGACTAGACTGATAATTGGAAAAGATTTGGAGGCTTACGTCCTGCATGTAAATGGTACAGGTTGCTGATGATATTGATTATACTGTATAAGTACAGGGTGCAGTTGGGTGTTAATCATCATCATCCAGAGCTAACGCCGACGGGGGCGCATAGCCGCGTCCACCTTCTGCTTCCACCTTTTGGGATCCCTTATAGCAAGCCGCCAGGCAGGGGCTCGGCCCATCTCGAGCTCTTCCCGACAGGTTTGATCGATCTGCCCAAGCCACGACCTCCTAGGTCGTCCCACAGGCCTCCTCCACCCAGGGAGACAACCTGATGAGCAGGATCAGCCTGTGGAAAGCGAGCCAGGTGGCCATATAGCCTGAGTTGGCGATCCCGGATTGTGCAGGTAACAGGTCCTGTGCCAGTCTCACGGTGCAGCCGTTGGTTAGACACATGGTCCCGCCAACAGTACCCCATGATCAAGACGAGACTCCAGTCCACTGGATAATGTCCAGGTTTCACTACTGTAGAGCTAAACTGGCATTATCAAGGTCCTGAAAACCTGTAGCTCGGTCCTTTTGCACAGGTACCGGTCCATGACCCCTGCTGCCAGGCCAATCCGTCTGCTGACTTCCTGGTCTGACAGCCCAGAGTTATGAACTGCACTACCAAGGTCTGTAAAGCTCTCCGTGACTTCAATGTCCTCGCCACAAGCACGTACCGACTGGACAGGTTCTCCTAGTATGTCCCCAAAGTCCTGGATCTTGGTCTTGGTCCAGGAGACCTCTAGACCCAAGGGCTTCGCTTCATTACTAAATGTATCGAGAGCCACCACTAGGGTTTCCAAAGACTCAGATAGAATCGCAAGTCAAGGTCTGTAACCTTGATATTACCCAGTCTTGCTCCACAATGACTTTGAACAGTAGCTCTGCTTAGTATCCAGTCCATGCAAGTGTTGAAAAGAGTTGGTGCAAGAACACAGCCTTGTCTCACTCCTGAACTGACAGGAAAGAAGCTCGACAGGACCCCACCACACTTTACAGCACTTTCAGTACCAGTATATAGGTTTGCTATTAGTTCAATAATCCTTGTTGGAATTCCTCTCGGTCTCAGGATCTCCCAGTGATTCCCGATGCATTGTATCGAACGCTTTCTTGAGGTCGATGTAGGCTGCAAGCAGCCCACATCCGAACTCACGACGGCGCTCTACAATGACTCGAAGCGCAAGGATACGGTCTATTGTGGACTTACCAGGAGTGAATCCGGATTGCTCCGGCCTCTGATGCTTTAGAAGATGGTCTCTAATACGCCTCAGAAGGATGCGGGCAAGAACCTTGCCTGGTACACTAAGCAGTGTGATGCCGCGGTGATTGCTGCAATCCCATCGGTCCCCCTTCCCCTTCCAGAGAGAGATGACCACACCCCTCAACAGGTCAGAGGGAACGGTACCGGACTGCCAAATGGTAGCCAGGACAGCATGCAATCCCCGCACCATAGGTTCACCACCAGCCTTTAACAGTTCAGCTGGGATGCCGCAAATACCCGCTGCTTTACCACTCTTCAGCTTGGAGATCGCCTCCCTAACCTCAGCTAGGGAGGGAGGGTCCTCGCTAATGGGTGGGTCCGGCAGCGGAATCACGGCACTACCCACATCCAAGTTAACTGTTGGAGGGTCAACCTGACACAACTGCTCAAAGTACTCAGCACAACACTCCCTCACCGCAACAGGATCTGAGACGATCTGGCCACCTACTAAGCAAACTGCAGTCACCTGTGAAGAGGGCTTGGAGTTCAGTTTTCTCAGGGCTTGGTATGCAGGACGAAGGTCATTTACTAAGAAGTGGCCTTCGACCTCCTCAGCAAGATTCCTAATAAACTGTTCCTTGTCCCTTCTTAACAGAGACCGAGTTCTACGCACCTGAGAACGGTGCAAATCCCAATCCCCTGCCAGACGAGCCGCAAGGCAAGCATCCGAGCACACTCCCTCTCCTTCAGCCTGTCCAGATGAAACACCCTAGGGTGGTCATTGGGCTGCTGGGGAGTTTTGGTGTACCCGGAGGGTAGCCACAACCAATCTATAGTCAGTACCACGGAACTCAGCACTCCTATACACCCTACAGTTCTGGAGGATCCTCCAATGAGTGCTAACGAGAATGTGGTCGATCTCCTTGGTTGCATTACCCGCATCGCTGTACCATGTCCAACGATGTGGGTCGGGGGCTGGTACCAGGAGCCAGAAATCCTCAATTTCTGGGATCTAGCAAAATCCCGGAAAAGGAAGGAATTCTCGCTCCCGGTATCAACTCCCGAACCATGAGGACCGACTGACATCTCATAGCCAGCTCGATCGCAGCCAGATACCGCATTGAAGTCACCCAGAACAATGCGAATATCTCGCCGGGGACAACTGTCTGCCACAGATGCAAGTTTGGCGTAGAACATCTCTTTCACGTCAAGTTTACAAACATTGGTAGGAGCGTACACAGCAATAAGAGACATGAAGCCCAAAGACAGCTTCAGTCTCATTACCATTATACGCTCACTGACTGGAGTGATCTCTACCACCGAGGGCTGGAGCCTACCGGAGACAGCTATGGCTACTCCCTGGAGATGGTGGCCATCGCTGCGGCCTGACCAGTAATAGGTGTAGCCACCTACACTGGTCGTGCCGCTGCCAGGTCTTCTCACCTCCGAGAGAGCACCCACCCCTACTCTCAGCCTCCCCAGTTCCCTCGATAGCAGGGGCAACCGATTATCCTGACGCAAAGAGCGGACGTTCCAAGCCCCCACCCTGACTTCCCGCCTGAGGTTAACCCTCGGGCAGTCGCTCCGGCTGGACGCCACTTCTGCCACCCCTGCCGACGCTGCCCCACATAAAAGGCGGCAGGCTGCGGGACCCTTCATCCACCTGTGGGGTTCCCTAGGGCTTTGCCCCACAAGCTTTATATTGGGCTGGCGGCTGCCAGGACGCAGGCAGGACGAGGAGCTCCCGTTCCTATTCCGCGCCCCAGCAGCCACCCTCCCAACGGGGCCTGCAGCCCGCCTCTCTCGCTGGGTAGGAGGGTCATTACCCCTCCCCCCAATATTTCCAATTAAGTGCGACGCTGCCAGTGGGTTATTCTCTGGGGGGAGGAGGACTGGCAAGGCCCACCTCCCCCGAGCCTCCCATTGACCCCAGGGGGCTTAGGGGCAGGAGTTGGTACAGGGCCAGGGCGTGTCCACACGCCGGTGGGCCATGACCCTGTACCTCTGGGGCCTCCTGCTGCTCCGAGATCCCCTACAGTTCAGCCTGGGACCGCAAGCTGCCAGTTTCCATAGGTGGCCACGAGGAGGCACTGCAGAAGTCTCGAGGATGGAGAGGCTATGCACTGGCAGGGGAGACTTATGCAACGCTGCTCCCTTTTTCGCACAAGGCTAGCCAGCGGTGGCAGCTGCAAGCAAGAAGGCATGGAAGCACTTAACACTATCTAGGCTACCACACCATCGCTTCACACCACCCTATGCATGAAGTGAGGAAAATATTATGGAACATGAACATACACTGGAAATTTTTCAATATCCACTCACAGTGCTGTCACTGATCAATGATGATCATCTGTTTGCAATGCTAAACCAGATTTGACAGGATAAAGTGTAGGAAAAGTTATGATATACAATAATAAGCTTTCTCCGACGATGGTATATCTCAGGACTGTTATTACTTCTGTATATTGTGTCTCATCTCTGAACCTCGCTTGAGCTGCCGGAAGTACTGGGCACAATCCTAGTTATTGCTCATTTAAAATATATATTTATATAATTTAGATACATAAGCTGAAAGGAATCCCCTCTAGATCACCATTATGTGATGTGAGGATTAGGCAGACTGTGATGAA